GATAGATAGATAGATAGATAGATAGATAGATAGATAGATAGATAGATAGATAGAGACCTCCAAGGCCCTTTCATATATATAAAACTCTCTAGATGGAGTGATTCCCAAAAAAGGCTATTCTATTCAGGGTGAAAAAATATGGAAATTGGCTTCAACCTCAGCAACTGTAAATTTATATGACTTCAAGTTCCAGATTACCGGCTGGGGAATTCTGGGAGTTGAAGCCCACCTATTTCAAAGTTGCCAAGTTTGGAAACGTGATTTTAAGGGCATCCCAATATTTCTGGCTATAGCAACTGTTGCAAAAATCTGGAAATCCCACCGCAATAATAATTTAAAAAAAAAAACACCGTTGGCATTTGCAAGGATTTTAGACCGCTCCAGGGGAGACATACAAATGCAAAATAACGCATACAAAAAATTCCGATTCCTCGAACTAGCAGGATCCCCCAAAAGGCAAGACAAATTATTTCTGTCTGCAAGGAAGGGGATTTTGGATTATATTTTTCTCCTCCCCCTCTGGCTGTTCAAAGTAGCTCACTCCCTCTTGTTGCCACCAATCACGGTGGGTGAGTCCAATTCCCAAAAATGGGGGGTGGACATGAAGAAGTCGGCCAAACCTTGGAATATCTCGCGCTCGAGCGGTCCACCCCTTTCCTCGAGCCCGCCCTAATCCAGACCGAGATACCTGACGTCACTTCCGTCCCCCCGCCTTGACGCCGCGGCCCGCTATAGGGTTCTGAACCTACCCGGAGAGGTTGAGGCTCAGAGAGACCCGGAAGTTCTGGTAACCCTTGGCAACAAGACATCCGGGCCCTTTCGTCCTCGGAGTGGAGCGATTACTTCCGGTCTAACTGGTCACCTAGGTAACGGGCCACTTGGTGGAGGCTTGTAGGAACCGAGGCGCCATGGCGGAGGTGACAGCTCGGCCGGTGAGCGGGATTCTCCGTTCTCGCCTGTGCGCCTCTTTCCCCTTCTGAGGGCCGAGGGAGGGCCTTGAAGGGACGGGACTCTTTTGCCCAGGCCTTTCCGTGGCCTAATTGCGCCTCTTCGGGTCAGGGTGGTTCTGGGTCGGTGGGAACCCAGCTAGCTATGGTTTCTTAGTTACAGGCCATGGCTTAGCTCTTGTGCCAGGTCAGCCCATTGTGGCGTGTTCTGCAAACCGTGGCTAGTCAGGTTAGGGCTTCTATTGGGTGCAAGACCTGGGAGGGGGGCATTTTATGGGGTCCCAGGCTACGTAGATTAGGTCTTATAAAGGGTGCAAGATCTGGGGGTGGGGAGAGGTTATGGGATCCCAGGCTAGGCAAATTAGGGTTTATTTGGGGTGCAGGAGTCGAGGGGTATTTTATGGGGTCCCTGGTTAGGTTAGATTAGGACTTATATAGGGTGCAAAACTTGGGGGGCATTTTATGGGGTCCCACTCTAGTCAGGTTAGGGCTTATATAGGATGCAAGACCTGGGGGGGCATTTTATGGGGTCTCATGTTAAGTAGATTAGGGTTTATTTGGGGTGCAGGAGCCAGAGGGCATTTTATGGCGTCCCAGGCTAGGCAGATTAGGGCTTATAAAGGGTGCAAAACTTGGGGGGCATTTTATGGGGGCCTAGGCTAGGCAGATTAGAATTTATATGGGATGCAAGATCTGGGGGGGGCAGGGTTTATTTTGAGTGAAGGAGCCGGGGGGGCATTTTATGGGGTCCTTTGATTCCCGTGAGGGTCAGTCTCCCTTCTTCTCTTTTCCTTCTCATCCCTTTGCAACCCCTACAAAGACACGCTTCATCTTCGCTTGGTCCTCCTGCGAAGCCCCTATGACTTTTTAAAAGTAGCCTTTCCATCTTTTTATTTATTCTATTTGTACGCTACCTAATTCCCACTCATTCTGAGCTCTGGGCAACTTGGAACCCTCTCTTTAAGCCTACCCTCGACTTTTGTGGCAGCACAGCTTATTAAAGGAGGAAATATTGACGTGGGAGATTGGCATACTTGAGAGCCAGTTTGGTGTAATGGTGAAGGGATTGGCCCAGAAACCAGGAGGTTTTGATTTCTGTTACATAAAATATTGCCAACATTGTCTTGTCTTGTTGCTGTCTTGAGTTCTCCATAAAAAAAAGATGGGATGAAAATATAACAATGACCACACAATGGTTTGGTTGCTGGAAGCTCTCCACCTGGACAAATAAGCATCTCATGCTCTGATGTTTTATCAAAGCAGAATATAGGTTCAAGTGCTTGTTTTAAAATTTTATTTAGAATAAATTCCATCTTTAGACTTGATTTCAAGTACATCTGTGTGGCTAGGTTTTTGCTGCCGTGTTTTGACTTCTGGATTTTGAATGATCAAACCCACATATATACATTAGCGTCCTGTGGTATCCTAAAAACCAAACCTTCTGTTTAGGGAAAGGCCAAACTCTTCTCACTTTTTCTAGAAGGAACTCAACAATACTGAATGATCAATAAAAAGAGACAATTTTTGCAGTAAAGTCTAGAGATCAAGAAGATGTTATAGAATGAAAAAGATACAGAGTGGGGCATCAGAAGGAAAAGTAGAGACCTCAGATACCATTTCTAGCTATTACATAAATTTCAGTTTTCCCCACTATCCCCACTATCCAGTAATGATTGCTGGATAATCACCAATGAATTTACCATTTCACCAAAATGGTAAAAAAAAAAAAAAATCACACCTAATTGCTTTCCTATTGTAATACCCAGAAGGATGATGGCAATCTTTTTATTGTTTCTCTGTGCTCAGTACTGTACTGTAAAATATATTTTTTTTTAAAAAAAAATCTTCCCTCCCTCCCCCCCACAGTGGTGTTTCAAAAATTATAATACTGTAGTCCATTCTACAATTTCAGAAGTTTTACATTTTATTCTGCTGTGAATAAAAACCAGGCCTTAGTAAAGACAAGATCACACACACACACACACACACACAAATGCATCTGTACCTTTGCAGATTTTAAACTATGCTTTCTGTTTATGGCAGCCTGGTTTAATAAGGAATTTGTTAAAAAAAAAATGTATTTCTCTTCAAAAGACATGACTCACGGATATGCCTTTTTTCTTTTGATGGTCAAGTTGGAGAGTGTACTTAGAATCTTGGTTCTTTATGAACACATTCCAGGATTTTTAATAGTTCTTTTAATAAAAGCTCTAGCACAGTATGCTATCTTGGGCAAAAGAATTACAATGTAGGAACCAACGGATTATCTATTCTGCTTGACTATATTTGGTGCTACAATAGGAAAGTTGGATATTTTAATTGGAGTAAGATTTTTACACTGAATTTTTCACTGGAGCACCATTCTCATCCAGCAGTTAATTCTGCATCAGGGTATTATGGAAAAAGCTTCAAATTGGTTTTAGAAATCTCTCTGTTTATTTGTTCTGTATTACCTTAGAGTGCTGTTTAAGTCTGAAGTGCTTAACAGCTATGATTCTAAAAAACTTGAAATGTAAATGTAAAAATTCTTCTCTGAGTTGTGAAACACATGGGCTATAAGAGATCAAAGCAACAGTTTACCTAAACAAAGCTTATTCTTGTTTCCAGAGTATGAACTCTTTTGCCTGAATTCTAAGCTATTTTGAAATTCTATCTATCATCTATCTATTTGTCTGTCTGTCTGTCTATCTATCTATCTATCTATCTATCTATCTATCTATCTGCATAATTAAGTTAATCACAAATGAATATATCTTGTAAAGCAGCATCAAACCACAGCAGCATATAAAGCCTTACAAAACTTCACATTTTAGTATAATCTGATAAATGTTTACTGTTGGTTATAGATTTTTATCCCATTCTTTTTATACATATTTCAAGGAAGTGAACATTCATAATATTCGGGCCTTTTCCCCCAGCAACAAGAACATTCCTGTGAGGTAGATTGTGCCAAGAGCAGGTGTCTGGCCCAACCTGACCCAGATGGCTTTCATGCCTAAGGCAGGACTAGAACTCACATGTCTCCTGGTTTTATGCTGCCATCTTACCCACCACACCAAACTAACCTTCTAAAAAGTCTTAAAAGAAAGGTGGAGTTGCTGCCAGCTCAAATCGGCCCTGGGGAAAAAATCATGTCATAAGCAGTGAAACCCAACTGAAAAATGCCCTTTTACGGGGTCATCGGCAAGGAATCCAAATGAAAGCATCTAAAGAGAATCTCAGGCACCCAGGAAGTTTGTGTGAGAGGTTGTAAATTAGTCCATCTCCTTTTCGTATGCCATACACAAGGCTGATTTTTTCTTTGAAAAGAATTCATCCGCTCCCTCAGCTGCCTACTTTTAAGGCTGCCTTAAGGTAATGTCTCACATGAAACAGGGTTCTAAGTCAGTCTTTGCAGACCAAACTGGAAACCACGGATACCTTTGGGATAGCTGAAGTTGCTTTATGGTTGACAAGGTGTATTCCATATAACTGGAGTTTTATTAGGTAAAGATATACATTACCTATAAACCTAGGTGATCGTTGTTTTGTTGGAGTTGGGTTTAGAGAGAGGAGCTTATTTATTGGAACTTCGGGGTTAAGGCTAAATCAACTGAATTGAAAAGGAAAACAAGACTCTCCTACTTGCTTTGTTCTCTTGAGTTAGTGACGTCACTGCCTGTGATTAATGCCACTATTTCTTCTCGAAATGGCCATGTTTTAACTGAATGCTGAGTCCACAAAGGAAGACTCGCTCACAAAGAGACTAGCGACTTTTTTATGCTTTGCTTTGAACCTAATCAGCACTTCTGCCCCTTCTTATCCCTGGTGTATCTTCAGCCTTCGGAGGAGAACAGGGTTGGTTTAAAAAAAGCAAAATGTGCTTGCCAAAAAGAAGTGCAGCTCAGCACCTTAAGCTGTCCTTAAAGATGAGTGTATACGTTCCCCGTTTCCAAAAAGGTAGCTTAATTAGGTTGTTGCAGCAAGAACGAGGAAGTATCTGAAGGCACCTTGATGTCAAGTGATTGTATTGTGCCATGATATATCCAACATATTATTCTGAGTGATAGGAAGGGGAAGAACTGTAACTAATGAAGTCAGAGGGAACGAAATGCAGGAAATATTGGCTGTGACAATTACCTTATTAATAGTGTAATTATCACTCCCTGTATTCTCTGCATTTCATTTATCTGATCTCATTTTTATCCCCCTCAATGAGTGGGGGATAATCTTTGTATAGTTAATTACATAGTTGGCAGTTGATTTATCTGCTCTACATTTATGAATATAGCAAGATATAAATATGTATGTGTGTGTGTGTATGTAAGTATATGTGTGTATGTGTACATGTGCCTGTATATTTATTGACTTTTTACTTGCTATTTTTATGTACACTGTGAGCTTGTGTGCCGACGACAAATTCCTTGTGTGTCCTATCACATTTGGCGAATAAAGAATTCTGTTTTATTCTATTCCATTCTATTCTATATGCACGCGCGCGCACACACACACACACGCACACACAGAGAGAGAGAGAGAGAGAGAGAGAGAGAGAGAGACTAAAGAAAGTATGACTTCTGCTTTCCACAATGGAAAAAAACTCAAAACTTTTCTGGATTTTTTTTCATGCCATTGCTGTTGGTAGACACCAGGCAAGAAACAATATCTCACATTTGAAAATTCTGCATCTCATAACCTTCAGATTTAATAATGAAAGAGGGAAGATAACAAGCGGAAGGGAATTAAATTATTATATTGCTAATGATAGCTAATCAGCTAATACCCAGCTGATTATCAGCAATTTTGTTGTTAATAGAGCACATTGAGGTATGTTCTCTTACAGCACTTCTAACATCCATTCTACAGAAACCTCAATTACTGAGAGTGTGGGTTTGTTTATCTTCCCTCTGAGAAAATAGTTGTGTTTGGAAGGGGAGTTATTTTGGAAAAGGAAACATAAAGTATTAAGATGGCAAAGTTGGATACAATTTGTAGTATAATTCAGTTACTGTAATTCAAAGAGTTTCAATTTTCCAGTAACAAAATTCAAATATCTGGAAGATTTAGAGTAGGCAAGATAAAATACAGTTTCATATAGAATGCCATTTGTGTTTGGAATTCGCAGGAGCAAAAGAGGGCTTTGGGTTAAATAACTTCTAAAAGGCATTAGAATTTAAATATATTAGCTAAATCAGACCTTTGTGTCCAGAGACAGTAGTACAATACATTTGAATTCTTAGTTCTAACAAAGAATAGGCATGAGAATGCGCTGTTGGCTTTTCTCCTCTTTGTTATTTCCTACAGTGCTGTGTATTTTCTGGTCTAAAGCTTGGAACATGGGAGGGTAAATAAGGTGATTTCTTCAAAGTTTTTAATTCTGACATGTGCTACTTTTTAAATCTTATTTCAGACTGCATCCCTGCCAGCAGCAGCAGAACTTCCCAGAGCCAGGTCAGGAAGAGGTTTGTTCTGATTTATATCTCTATAGTTATTTCAGCCATTTTAAACTACTGTCTCCAGTGCATTCTGTGCAGAAAACACTTCAGTTTAATAAACTTTGATTGATGGCCTCAAAATGGTTATTTAGGGGACAGACTGATTCTAGGTATTCACTGATATTAAACTACAGTTGCCTCAGCTCCCATAGAATGGCCAACTGTGCTTTCCTGAAACTAGAATGCTGAATATCATTTTCTAGAGAAGGCCTGGGTGGTTGAAGGTGATGCTGGCATCCTCTTTGATTGCCTTCCTGGTTTTCAGGTCTTTTGATGACCTAGATACCGACCAAGGAGGTAGGGGGTTGGTCATTTAATCTCAGAATACCCAGCCATATTACCCCGAACGATTTAACCCTTGGTTTTGTGGGTGCTTCGATTAATCTTAATATGTGGTATTATTGCCAGCATAGTTTTATAGCCATTTATCTACTGAAGTCCATAACTCCTTTAAAGGTCTTGCATTACTTACAAACGGTGGTATTACCTAATTGCCCTTCCAGTATATTAAAGATGATTTTTTTTTAAAAAATGAAGAATTTAACAAGTGTCCCAATGAGATGGGTTTATCGAGCGACATAATGCAATAGTTAGTGCCTGTTTTATCCCTTCGTAATGTATGACATCGGAAGAGGTGGCAGTCTCAGATTCATTTCGAAGCTCAATAGCTTGCTTTGTGCACTGTTTCCAAACAGGCAAAGGAGAAGAACAGAGAAAAAGCTCTCTTTCTGGAATTTATGAGTAATGCAGAGGCAGTTGAGTATTAAGTATAAACTTCCTCCCTTTGAAATAATTCAAACCAGATGTTGTGGGGGGGGGGAGGGGGGGGAGGAAATCCTGCTGTTATAACATTTTGCAGCTTAGCAGCAGCAAGAACAAATAACTGTGGCTAAAATAGTTTATTGGAAACCGTAGTTGTTGGAAGTAAGCTTGGGAAATGTAATAATCCACTCTGTTTTCTGGGCGTTTGCGGCCTGGAATTTAACTGGAACCAACTTCTGTGAAGCTTCGGATCACTTGGAGTCCATTTTTCCGTTGCTTTAAGCCGTACTTCGACCGCAATAGCCAGCCAGTTTCCAACGAGCAATGGCGGAAGCTGGATTCGCTTAACGGCCTCCTGATTCGCTTAACTTCAGTGATTCGCTTAACAATCGTGTGGGGGGGGGGTAGGGAAACATCCTAGAAGCGGGTGCAACTCACTTAAGGACTGTCTTGGCTCAGCAAGGGAAATTCTGGTCCTAGCTGTGGTCGTAAATCGAGGACTATCCATAATGGCAACATTGCTATTGCATGAGGGCAATAAATACAGAGAGAAAAGAAAAGTACGGTATAGGCAGTCCTCAACTTACGACCACAATTGAGCCGAAAATGTCCGTTGTTAAGTGAGAAATGCGTTACGTGAGTTTTGCCCCATTTCTGGCCACCGTTGTTAAGTGAATCCCTGCATTTGATAAGTTGGTTGTGAAGTGAATCTGGCTCCCCCATTGACTTTGCTTGCTAGAAGGTCACCAAAAGGGGATCACGTGATCCCCCGGGACACCAACACGGTCATAAATCTGAAGCGGATGCCGAACATCTGAATTTGGATCAGAAGGCTGTGGGGATGCTGCAAAGGTTGTGACTGGTAAAAACATTCCTATGTCCCTTTTTTCCCCAGTGCCACGGCAACTTTGAACGGGTCACTAAACAAACTGTCCTAAGTCGAGCACCACCTGTATCTACAACTTGGCATGCACAACAGTTTTTGCCATCGTGGCTCAATTGCCTGTTTTTCTCGCCTGCCTCTGATTAAAAACGCTCCTTATTTTCCTCGCTGGGTATTTTGCAGTGGAGAGAAAAGACGGATGTATCCGAGCAGTCGGAGAACACAGGATAACGCAATTAGAGGGTGACATTATCCATAAAAGTCTGTGAACGGTTTCAGAGCCAGTGAAAGAATCAGCCCGGAAGGATCCTGGTTTTTCAGGCAGATTCATCACAGGCTTTTTAAACTGTACACAGAAAGCAGAAGGGTAAATGGAATTGCTGGTTTGGATTTTTTCCTCACTGAAAGAAACGCGAGCGGAGTAAATCTTTTCTGATGGAATAAGGTTGAGGTAGATTGAATTTCCCGCTGGGTGAACGCAGAGCCCGTGGATAAATTTATTCATGAGAATGCTTTTTTTTCCCCCCCCCTTCTTCTTTTGCTGCGTTTTATTTTATTTTATTTTTTGTTTCCAGAGCTGCATTTTGTAGCGTTTCCCACATCCAACGTGGTAGCACCCCGAGAGATTTTGAAGCATGCTCCAGCTACGACTTCAAAAGGGCCAACGGGTTTGATAGGGGATTTAAACTGCTACTTGCTTTCGTCGGCGAGATGGTAGCACAACAAAAAGTTTCGGTTTGAAAGACCCTCCGGGCCTTTAGAAGCATTGAGGGGTAGAGCTTGCCTGTTTTATAACTCTATTCCAGTGGAAAGATTAAGACAGTGGCAGAATTGATTCCCGTGGAAAGCAAATACTGTATGCTTAATGGGCCAGATTGTATACTTGGAGGTTTATGTTGCCACACAAGCCTTATGAAAGCTGATTAACTTTGGGGGGGACTTAAGAATAACTGTTGTGTAGATGAGCACCGCCGTTTGATTTCTTTTTAACCCTTTTTTTTTTCCAACACCATTCAGGGTACAAAGTTATAAAATTCATTTTAATATTACCGGAACGCTCAGATCTAAAGAAGAAGGAAATAAATGTATAATCCTACATGAAAATCCTGTTCTTCCCCCCCCCCCCTCTTTTTTTTTTTTGAAACTGTTTAAATGATTTGTATGCTTGGTGTTCTGTCAGAGTAAAATGGCTTTAGATATCGCCCTAAGCCACCATCGCTTTTACTGGCTTAATGGGCTGTGTGAACTGAGCCCCTGTCAGACAGAAGTGCCAATGGGTTAGCTCTAACTGTAAGGCCCCTGCTCAGTTTGGTTTCAGCCATGGTGGGTGTTTCCAAATAATTTCGCTACTGGCAGTAGTCAGTCCTCGGCTTACGACACAATTTCATTTGCTAATAAGCAAGGTAGCTGTTAAGTGAATTGCACCTGATCTTACAGCTTTTTTTTTTTTTGCCACAGCTTGTAAGCAAATCACCCTAGTCGTTAATAGCAATAGCACTTGGACTTATATACCGCTTCACAGGGCTTTTCAGCCCTCTCTAAGCAGTTTACGGAGTCAGCCTCTTGCCCCCAACAATCTGGGTCCTCATTTTATCGATCTGGGAAGGAGGGAAGGCTGAGGCAACCTTTGAGCCTGGTGAGACTTGAACTGTTGGCTGTGGACAGAGTTAGCCTGCAACTCTGTATTCTAATCATTGGGAAGGAAGGAAGGAAGGAAGGAAGGAAGGAAGGAAGGAAGGAAGGAAGGAAGGAAG